TTTACTCACTGAAACAATTACTGTGTTTGCATACTAAATGCATCCTAAAATAATATAGAAATACTAAATGTCGATTTGAAGGGACGGGTGTAACGCGACGCCCACACGCGCACAGGGCTGCCTGCGTCGCGATCCCCACACGCGCACAGGGCTGCCTGCGTCGCGATCCCCACACGCGCACAGGGCTGCCTGCGTCGCGATCCCCACACGCGCACAGGGCTGCCTGCGTCGCGATCCCCACACGCGCACAGGGCTGCCTGCGTCGCGATCCCCACACGCGCACAGGGCTGCCTGCGTCGCGATCCCCACACGCGCACAGGGCTGCCTGCGTCGCGATCCCCACACGCGCACAGGGCTGCCTGCGTCGCGATCCCCACACGCGCACAGGGCTGCCTGCGTCGCGATCCCCACACGCGCACAGGGCTGCCTGCGTCGCGATCCCCACACGCGCACAGGGCTGCCTGCGTCGCGATCCCCACACGCGCACAGGGCTGCCTGCGTCGCGATCCCCACACGCGCACAGGGCTGCCTGCGTCGCGATCCCCACACGCGCACAGGGCTGCCTGCGTCGCGATCCCCACACGCGCACAGGGCTGCCTGCGTCGCGATCCCCACACGCGCACAGGGCTGCCTGCGTCGCGATCCCCACACGCGCACAGGGCTGCCTGCGTCGCGATCCCCACACGCGCACAGGGCTGCCTGCGTCGCGATCCCCACACGCGCACAGGGCTGCCTGCGTCGCGATCCCCACACGCGCACAGGGCTGCCTGCGTCGCGATCCCCACACGCGCACAGGGCTGCCTGCGTCGCGCCGCCCACACGCGCACAGGGCTGCCTGCGTCGCGACGCGACGCCCACACAAGTCCTATCCTTATGTTACTAATTATATGTTTGCGCTCGTATTGCAAGTCTTTAAGATAGCCATGATTTACAGAGACCAGCATTGTATGCACTCTAAATGTCAAACCTGTCAATTATAGACTGTATGCGGTCATCTTCTTCAGGTACGACCAGTACTTCTATGAGGTCAAAGCTGGAATGTTGCGAAGGAATTCAACGTCTCCCTATGAACAGATTTCCACTGTGAATGAAATCATTAACGGTGAACATGGAGAGCTTGCCCTCCTCAGGCTAGCAATACCACTCCATCTGAACAGGTATATAAATATTTGTCTGGTAGAACAACTCTAGATTAAGACTAGAGAGCACTCTTTCCACTTTCCCACACTTAAGTGTTGGTGATACTACCCTGGGACTGGATACTCAACATTGTATCTCACCATGGAGCCAGACCTCGTAAGGCCTTCAAAGGCCATACTCGAAACAAAAGTAGCCATGTTATGACGTCACACATTATAAAGTACCTTGTAAGTTACAGCTGCTCTGGGGCTCTCGTACATGTTTGAAACAGGATATTGTACGGTTTATTAACCGATTACTTAGTCTACCGAAACCTTTATTTGACAGTAACATGCCTCTTCCATATTTAGTACCGGGAATTTCAATTGTCTAGTATTTTCTGTGTTTTCCATACATTACTGTTATCTTGAATCAAGTATAAATTAACTGTAAATTGAGCTGACAAACGACAAACCACGTTTTGGTGGCTACGCATCTTCATGGTCGAACATTGCAGCGTGAAAGACATTATTATAGGGAATTACTAGTTTCTGTCTCTGAAGAGGATAAGCATTTATTGTGATATCAGATTTCATAGATTTATTTTACCATAACCTTTGATGCCAAATATTCAATCAAACAATTTATTCAAGAATGATTATTTTGATGATTCATGATTCTTCGTTTATATGTTTACATCAATTTACTTTCGCATGAAATTATTGTTCTCCTTATGCTTCCCAATAAATGTATGTAACAAGTTGCATGACTTCATAAACACATTGTTAAAAATATAGGAAATGATAATGTATATATTTTATTTTTATGTTTTTGCCTGAAGATGATTGCTGCGTATTATCATTCTCTTTTTGTATTGAACTTGTACTATGAAAGGCAGTTATTCTGGGAAATTCCTTATAACTAATTTAACATTACAACACTTGGCTGAGTCTTTCAAAGATATCACTCGGGGAGAGAGCTGAGCCTTCCATGGTGTTGGTAACCGTTGGAGGCGTTGCAATAAGACAACCATGGCATTCCATTGGTTGTTACGTCTAGCAGGCTTGCTGCTGATCGGTCAATCGACTACCGGTCTGCTGTCTCTGGTAGTCATTGGAATTAACTTTGAGTATCCCGACCCTGGGCCGAGATACTCAAAACTACCAGTCGGTTACAAGGCCGAGGACGTTGTAAACGCTTTACTACATCGTACCTTCCGATCTCCTTACTACATATTCAAAAATAATTTCAATGTAGTAAGCACATAGTAAGGCTAGTGTTTATATGGTAGTAAATAGAATTAACTTAGAGGGCAGACCGGTAGTCGATTGACTAATCAGCAGCCAACCTACTAGACGTAA